ACCAAGATGATTATTCGAAAGACTCAAATAAGTTAAAGTATTATTTATGCAGAGAGCTTCTGCTATCGCTTTTCCACCTTCAGGACCAATATTATTATACCACAAATACAAGTAACTTAAAGCAGTATTCTGACAAAGAACTTTAGCAAATGCTTTTCCTACTTCAGAATCAAGTTGATTTTGACTAAGATTTAGAGAAGTTAAAGTGTTATTTTTATAAAGAGCTTCAGCAAGTACTTTACCACCTTCAGAGCCGAGTTTATTATTCCAAAGACTTAGATAAGTTAGAGTGCTATTTTTTTGAAGAACCTCAGCTAGTATTTTCCCTCCTGAATAACCCAAATGATTATTTGAAAGACTTAGATGAGTTATAGTAGTATTAATACAAAGTACTTCAGTTAATACTTTTATTCCTTCAGTGCATAAACAATTATGCGAAAGATATAAATTAGTTAAAGTAGTATTCTTATAAAGTGCTTCCGCTAATATATTTCCGCCTTTAATATCAAGTTGATTATAACCAAGTTTTAAAGTAGTCAGAGTAGTATTTTCACTAAGAACTTTAGCAAATGCTTTTGCACCTTCAAAACCAAGTTGATTATTCCAAAGATCCAAGCAAGTTAGAGTAGTATTCTTACAAAGTGCTTTTGTTAATACATTAATTTCTTCAGAATCAAGTTCATTATTCGGAAATTTTAAGGAAGATAAACTTTTATCAAGAATTAATTCTAATAAATTTATAGCTTTACCATAAATACTTAAATCATTAAGTTTTTTACAAGTTCGTAAAAACATTAAAGTTAAAGAATATTTAATTGATTGAACAATATTTAAACAAGAATAATATTGTAAATAATGAGAGCCATGTCCTTCACGATTAATCCATTTGATAATTCCATCATCAGAATTAATCTTAATAATAGTAGTATAAGATGTATATATAAATAATGGATTTTGATTATTTGAAATTATTAAATCAAATGGTATTAATTGAACTTGTTCTTCAGCGTTTAATAATAAAAGACATGTTTTTATAAGATTTTCATTTTTAGAAATATCTAATTCATTCCATAATATCGGTACAACATTTCTACACCATCGTCGACTTACAAGAAGACAAGAAAATAAACTTTTATGATCTCCTCTAAGATTTATAAATATTTCAAAAAGACATTCGTTTGGTAATGCTATCATTTTTAAATGAATATGTAAAAAATTGTTTTAATTTTTGTATATATAATATTTTCGGAATTCGGATAAATAAGATATCCATATAAATACTTATTTGTGCAAAATAACCTTCATTCGCTAACTTTCACATGTTACTAAATTTAATCTGTTTGCTTTGCAGTAAAAGTTCCTACTTGATACACCAAAACAATGTCTCTTGCAGTAACTTTATTAAATTATCGTTATTGTTATTTCTTGAAGTGTGTGTCAGGTTATTGGCGTAAATTTAGCCACAATAATCTGCACAAAATCAAATTTATACTAGACATCAGATCTCTGTTTACTTATCATATGTTTGTATAATTTCTTATGCTTCGACAACAGCACTGTATTTTACTTTTTTTTCAATTTATTTTTATTTACAATTAGCTATCCAATCTTACATATTATATCTTTATTCATCATTTTATCTATCAATACCGTCATTAATTACATATGGGATCTTAATTCACCCGCGGAAAAATTGTATTCCCACTTTATATTATCAAAAATCCCAATATGGTATGATCATGAAAATCGGCCAAAGTTTAGGTTGGAGCTAGGCCGGCATTAATCAATAATAATAACTATATTATAGCAAAATCAGTGTCTGGGAAATTTTATTTAGCACGTGGATTACTTGATTATTTGCAAAATTTATCAATTCACTGAATTTTGGTTGCCAGTCTATTCCGATTTACGACGTATCAGGATACCCTAAGCACGGACATTTGGACGTGCTAACTACTAGTGATCATGTAGAATTTTTTGGCTGGATATTTTTCTCATAAAATGACATCGTCATTTATGCAAAATATCACGACAAAAAATTTCACATGCTAATATAATATAACAGATAATCAATAACATCAATACAGAAAATTTTCATCGTATGACAAATATCTTCCGATCAGATAATAACAGAATCACTGACTGCGAAGCAGCCAGTATGCCATTCCGTTGTTATTCGATCATCTGATCCTTGCATGATTTTTAGGTACCGTAAAGTGCCAACTGATGTATCCGGATATTTACAAAGACTAGAGATATACCCGCTGTACATTTCTCATTCAACTTTGCCAGTCTTCAATGTTTTACACCAGCTAGATATTCTTCGAAGCGTAAAGATGCTATTATTCTATGTATAATATGAATAGCGGATATAAATAGAATTCTTATCCGCAGAATACCCCGGGTACAACTCATAGGGGGATCTATCGTATGGCACTTTAC